GGGTATTGTAGTTGTAAGAATGCTTGATAGAGATCTTGTAGGTGTTTGTCTCTGTCTGAGAGGTTGGAGCAAATGCAGTTGTATCGCAGAGCTTGGCTGTAGACGATGGATCGTGTGGTGTGGTCAGGGTGAAAGCTGGAGGCATGCAGGTAGGAATAGCGGTCAGTAGGTTTCCGGTATAGGGTGGTGTTTATGTGACCATTGTTTATTAGCACTGTGGTGTCCAGGAAGTGGATCTCTTGTGTGGACTGGACCAGGCTGAGATTGATGGTGGGATGGAAATTGTTGAAATCATGGTGGAATTCCTCAAGGGCTTCTTTTCCATGGGTCCAGATGATGAAGATGTCATTAATATAGCGCAAGTAGAGTAGGGGCGTTAGGGGACGAGAGCTGAGGAAGTGTTGTTCTAAGTCAGCCATAAAAATGTTGGCATACTGTGGGGCCATGCGGGTACCCATAGCAGTGCCGCTGATCTGAAGGTATACATTGTCCCCAAATGTAAAATATTTATGGGTAAGGACAAAGTCACAAAGTTCAGCCACCAGGTTAGCCGTGACATTATCGGGGATACTGTTCTTGACGGCCTGTAGTCCATCTTTGTGTGGAATGTTGGTGAAGAGGGCTTCTACATCCATAGTAGCCAGGATGGTGTTATCAGGAAGATCACCGATGGATTGTATTCAGAGTAACAGCCGTGTTAGTCTGTATTCGCAAAAAGAAAAGGAAGACTTGTGGCACGTTAGAGACTAACCAATTTATTTGAGCATGAGCTTTCGTGAGCATACTGCATCCGATGAAGTGAGCTGTAGCTCACGAAAGCTCATGCTCAAATAAATTGGTTAGTCTCACGAAAGCTCATGCTCAAATAAATTGGTTAGTCTCTAAGGTGCCACAAGTACTCCTTTTCTTTTTGCGATGGATTGTAGTTTCCTCAGGAAGTCAGTGGTGTCTCGAAGGTAGCTGGGAGTGCTGGTAGCGTAGGGCCTGAGGAGGGAGTCTACATAGCCAGACAATTCTGCTGTCAGGGTGCCAATGCCTGAGACGATGGGGCGCCTAGGATTTTCAGGTTTATGGATCTTGGGTAGTAGATAGAATATCCCAGGTTGGGGTTCCAGGGGTGTGTCTGTGCGGATTTGATCTTGTGCTTTTTCAGGGAGTTTCTTTAGCAAATGCCGTAGTTGCTTTTGGTAACTCTCAGTGGGATCAGAGGGTAATGGGTTGTAGAAAGTGGTGTTGGAGAGCTGCCAAGCAGCCTCTTGTTCATATTTCGACCTATTCATGATGACAACAGCACCTCCTTTGTCGGCCTTTTTGATTATGAAACAGAAACAGTTGCCCCAGAAACAACTCTGACATCATAAAAAGATCTTCTATACTTTCCACGGTATGCATCCGATGAAGTGAGCTGTAGCTCACGAAAGCTTATGCTCAAATAAATTGGTTAGTCTCTAAGGTGCCACAAGTACTCCTTTTCTTTTTGCGAATACAGACTAACATGACTGCTACTCTGAAATAAGTAAGGAAGTGTTATTTATTCCTTCTCATAACAGAAGAACTAGGGTTCACCAAATGAAATCAATAGGCAGCAGGTTTAAAACAAACAAAAGAAAATATTTTTCCACACAATGCACAGTCAACCTGTGGAAATCCTTTCCAGAGGATGTTGTGAAGGCCAAGATTATAACAGGGTTCAAACAAGAACTAGAGAAGTTCATGGAGGACAGGTCCATCAATGGCTATTAGCCAGGATGGTATCCCTAGCCTCTGCTTCCCAGAAGCTGGGAATGGGAGACAGGGGATGGATCACTTGATGATTTCCTGTTCTGTTCATTCACTCTGGGGCACCTGGCATTGGCCACTGTCAGAATACAGGACACTGGGCTAGATGGAGCTTTGGTCTGACCCAGTTTGGCCTCTCATATGTTCTTATGCTTTGCATTCCATCCCTTTGATCTTCTTTGTCTCTTGCCTCTGGATCCTTTCTAGTTTCTCTACATCCTTTCTATACATTTGTGACCAAAACTGGACATAGTACCGCAGCTGAAGCCTAACCAGCGCCGAGTAGAGTGGAACTATCACTTTCCATGACTTGCATTCTATGCCTCTGCTAATGCAACCGAAAATTGCGTTTGCTTTATTTTTTTTTCAATAGCAAAAAAATCCACACCCTGAGAGATGTAGCTGTACCATCCTAACCACAGTGTACACAGCAGGAGGTCATCGCAGTTTGTCCTAATGGTGAGTTGCCCTCAGTGCTAAACACTGGGTCCTTAGTTCCAACTGGAACTTGTCTGGCTTCAGCTGCCAGCCTTGCTCTGCCTTTCTCGGCTAGATTAAAGATCCCATTATTACTACTGAACATAAATAAATGAAGGTCTTTGGGTCTCTTCCTGTTTGGTATTTTCTCCAGCCTCAAATCATTTTTGTGTCTCTTTTCTGCACCCTCTCCAATGTTTCAATATCCTTTTTGAAATGTGGACCCCAGGACTGGGGGCAGTTGGTTTCACCAATGCCACGCGCAAAGGTAAAATCCTTCCCCTGCTCCAACTCACCACTCCCCTGTTTATGCAGCTGAGGATCACATCAGCCCTTATGGCCACAGCATCACAATGGGAGCTCACAATGACCCTAAATCCTTTTCTGGGTCCTCGGGTCCCATAATACAGTGCCCTAGTCTGTGGAGCAGGCCTGCATTCCCTGTTCCAAGTGGATCCCTTTGCATTTGTCTGTATTAAAACCTATTGTTTGCATAGGCCCAGCTCACTGAATGCTCCAGATCAGTCGATGTACCTACCCGTTGTAACCACTCTGCCAATCTTTAGGCCATCTGCTAATTTTATCTGCAGTGATTTTCTATTTGTTTCTAGATCATAGATGAAAATATTGAATAGCATCAGGCCTAGAATTATCCCTGGAGAAACCCACTAGAAATAGCCCCATTCACTGACAATGACCTATTGACAACAGCTTTCTGAGATCTCTCAGTTAGCCAGTTTTTAGTCCATTTAATATGTGTTCTACTGATATTGTATAGTGTTTTTTTTTAATCTGAATGTTTTCCTTTACTAAATCAAATGACTTAGAGAAATTGAAGCCTATTGCATCAGTGTGGTGCCCTTGATCAACCAAATGTGTTCTCTCATTAAAGGATGAAATTGGGTTTATTTGACAAGACCTGTTTTCCATAAACCCAGTTGTTGACGGGCATTAATTATATTCCTGGACTTTTTTTTAATTAATCCCAGACCAGCTTTTCCATTGTTTCATAATCTTGTCAAATCTTTTTTTAAAGCTTTCTCTTTATTTTTAATTGTTTAAATTTAACACAGTGCTGTCCTGTATATGCTTTTTCATATATGTAAAAAGAAAAGGAGTACTTGTGGCACCTTAGAGACTAATCAATTTATTTGAGCATGAGCTTTCGTGAGCTACAGCTCACTTCATCAGATGTATGATCTGATGTATGATCTGATGTATCATCTGATGAAGTGAGCTGTAGCTCACGAAAGCTCATGCTCAAATAAATTGGTTAGTCTCTAAGGTGCCACAAGTACTCCTTTTCTTTTTGCGAATACAGACTAACACGGCTGCTACTCTGAAACCTTTCATATATGTGTATTTCATCACCTCAGGTGATATGAGTACCTCCTACCGCTTCTTTCCACACGCAGAACAAAAATATTTCTTGAACACATTTACCTTTTCTACAACATTAACAAGTTTCCTTTCTCCCTCTAGGAATTGGCCTAAACCTTTTCTAGGATTTATTCTCTTCTTAATATACTTAATAACCTCCTTTTTGTGATCCTTAGCCCTGCCAAGCACGGATTTCTCCCTGATAGCTTTCACGTTTCTTATCAATTTTCAAAAATTCCAATTTGTATTGTTTGTTATCTATTTTCCCTTTTTCCAATTTGTTCTGTGTTGCTCACCTCCCACCCCAAGCCCCAATTACTGCCTTCACTTTGCCACTGAACCGGGTTTTTAGCCAAAGTTGTCCAATTCTTGGCTGTGGTATTGTGGAGTTTTAGCTGTCTAATAAACTCTTCTTAAAGAACTCCCAAGTTTCATTCCCATTTTTCTCTCTGAATTAAACCTCCCAATCAGTTTTACTGATATGTTGCCTAAGCTTTGGGGAATTAACCCCTTTGAAGCGCTACATGTCCACACATATTACTGGGTGGGAACTGTTCTCCATTTGTCCATTTGAATGTAATCAGTTCCTTTGTTTATTTTGTTCTCCTCTATCATATGCCCCCTTTTTTGTCTCTTCTCTAAACTAAACAGTCACAGACTTTTCAGTCTGTCCACATCAGGCAGCCTCCCCTATTCTCATAGCCTGTCTCAGAAATCCCCTTTCTCTCTGCTATATCCTTTATAGAGACTGAGTGACCACAACTGAGCACATATCCAGAACAGTTTATTCTCCATCCCCTTCCTTAGGCATCCAAACATTGTCTTTGTTTGGCCACTGCTACGAATGAGCAGGTGTTTCTGTGGAGCTGCTATCAAAGATGCCCGGGTCTTTTCCCTGAGCTGTGCTCTAGTTGGGATGTATCCCCCAGCACATGTCTTTGCAAAAATTTGGGTTTTTTTTCACTCTCAGATGTTGAACAACTGGGTGAATGGGGAACTCCTTACAGCATGGACACTCCAGCCTGGCTTTCATTGCATTAAGGAACAATGATGGATAACCAGTATCCACACTCATGTTTCTTGCTGGTGCCTATTAAGGTTTCCCACACCATGATGTGCAGGAATTATTGATGCATGGAGCACCATGAAATATGGAATTGGCATTAGTAGGGTCAGTTGTTCATAATTCATTCCTCTGAATAATGAAAATATGAGTTTTCAGTGTGTGAGGAGCGACCGATCTGCTCTACCCATGAGAACAGCCTCCAGGAGTGCATGTAGTGTCTCTTATTAACACTGTCTCTCCATCCAGGCATTTGTCCTGTGATCATCACCCTAGAGCCTGAACACATACAGGAAGTCGGGGGAACGTACGGTACATGCAGGAGACACCGTTCTGCCTCAGAGTTGGACACCTTCTCCCCTACTCCATATCAGATTCCAACACAATCCCAACTATACATATAAAATGATGGGGTCTATATTAGTTGTTAACACTCAAGAAAGAGATCTTGGAGTCATAGTGGATAGTTCTCTAAAAACATCTGCTCAGTGTGTAACAACGGTCAAAAAAGTGAACAGAATTTTAGAACCATTAGGGAAGGGATAGATAAGAAGGCAGAAGATATCATATTACCTCTGTATAAATGCATGGTACACCCTGTCATAAATATAAAGGGAAGGGTAAACCCCTTTAAAATCCCTCCTGGCCAGAGAAAAAAATCCTCTCACCTGTAAAGGGTTAAGAAGCTAAAGGTAACCTCGCTGGCACCTGACCAAAATGACCAATGAGGAGACAAGATACTTTCAAAAGCTGGAAGGAGGGAGAAAAACAAAGGGTCTCCGTCTGTCTATATGCTGCTTTGTCGGGGATAGACCAGGAATGGAGTCTTAGAACTTTTAGTAAGTAATCTAGCTAGGTATGCATTAGATTATGATTTCTTTAAATGGCTGAGAAAAGAACTGTGCTGAATAGAATAACTATTTCTGTCTGTGTATCTTTTTATAACTTAAGGTTTTGCCTAGAGGGGTTCTCTATGTTTTGAATCTAATTACCCTGTAAAGTATCTACCATCCTGATGTTACAGGGGGGATTTCTTTACTTCTATTTACTTCTATCTCTATTAAAAGTCTTCTTGTAAGAAAACTGAATGCTTTTCATTGTTCTCAGATCCAAGAATTTGGGTCTGTGGTCACCTATGCAAATTGGTGAGGCTTTTTATCCAACATTCCCCAGGAAAGGGGGGGGTGCAAGTGTTGGGAGGATTGTTCATTGTTCTTAAGATCCAAGGGTCTGGGTCTGTGGTCACCTAGGCAAGTTGGTGAGGCTTTTTACCAAACCTTGTCCAGGAAGTGGGGTGCAAGGTTTTGGGAAGTATTTTGGGGGGAAAGACGTTTCCAAACAGCTTTTCCCCAGTAACCAGTATTTGTTTGGTGGTGGTAGCAGCCAATCCAAGGACAAAGGGTGGAATATTTTGTACCTTGGGGAAGTTTTGACCTAAGCTGGTAAAGATAAGTTTAGGAGGTTTTTCATGCAGGTCCCCACATCTGTACCCTAGAGTTCAGAGTGGGGAAGGAACCTTGACACACCCACATCTTGAATACTGCATGCAGATGTGGTCGACCCATTTCAAAAAAGATATATTGGAAGACAGGATTCTGGGTTAGATGGAGCTTTGGTCTGACCCAGTTTGGCCTCTCGTATGTTCTTATGCCTTGCATTCTATCCCTTGGCCTTCTTTGTTTCTTGCCCCTGGATCCTTTCCAGTTTCTCTACATCCTTTCTATGCATTTGTGACCAAAACTGGACATAGTACCGCAGCTGAAGCCTAACCTCCGCCTATTAGAGAGGTATTATCACTTTCCATGACTTGCATTCTATGCCTCTGCTACTGCAAACCGAAAATTGCATTTGCTTTTTTGGCAATATCCAAAGAAAAATCCACACCGCTTGGAGATGTAGCTACATCCTAACCCCAGTGTAGACAGCTAGAGGTCAATGCAGTTTGTCCTAATGGTTAATCACCCTCAGTGCTAAACATTGGGTCCTTAATTCCAACTGGAATTTGTCTGACTTCAGCTTCCAGCCTTGCTCTGCCTTTCTCGGCTAGATTAAAGATTCCATTATTACTATTTAAGATAAATCAATGACTGTCTTTGAGTCTCTCACTGGCATCTTCTCCAGCCTCAAATCATTTTTGTATTTCTTTTCTGCACCCTTTCCAATGTTTCAAGATCATTTTTGAAATGTGGACCCCAGGATTGGACTCAGTCGTTTTCAAAAATTCCATGTGCAGAGGTAAAATCCTTCCCCTACTCCAGATCACCACTCCCCTGTTTATGCATCCAAGGATCACATCAGCCCTTTTGGCCACAGCATCACACTGGGAGATCACAATGATTTGGTGGTCCACAATGACCCCTAAATCCATTTCTGAGTTCCTTGTGTTACGTAATACAGTACCCTAGACTATGGGTCGGGCCTGCATTCCCTGTTCAGAGAGGATCACTTTGCATTTGACTGCATTAAAACATTTTGTTTGCATGAGCCCAGCTCACAGAATGTTCCAGATCAATCAATGTACATGCCCTGGCCTCCTCATTGTAACCACTCTGCCAGTCTTTGGGCCATCTGCTAATTTTATCTGCAGTGATTTTCTATTTGCTTGAAGATCATTGATGAAAATTTTGAATAGCATCAGGCCTAGAATTGATCCTGCAGAAACTCACTCCAAACAGCCCCATTCACTAACAATGGCCCATTCTGCTTTCTGAGATCTATCAGTTAGACAGTTTGTAGTCCATTTAACATATGTTCTACTGATATTGTACAGTGTTTATTTTTTTATCTGAATGTTTTCCCTAGTAAATCAAATGACTCATAGAAATTGAAGTCTATTGCATCTGTGTGATTCCCTTGATCAACCAAATGTGTTCTCTCATTAAAGAATGAAATTGGGTTTGTTTGTCAAGACCTGTTTTCCATAAATCCAATCATTGACTGGCATTAATTATATTCCTAGACTTTTTTAAACTAATCCCAGACCAGCTTTTCCACTGCTTCTTTTTTAAAAGCTTTCTCTTTATTTTTAATTGTTTAAATTTAACACAGTGCTGTCCTGTATATGCTTTTTCATATATATGTATTTTATCACCTGATGTGATATGAGTACCTTGTACTGCTTCTTTCCAAGTGCAGAACAAAAATATTTCTTGAACACATCTACCTTTTCTGCAACATTAACAAGTTTCCTTTCTCCCTCTAGGAATTGGCCTAAACCTTTTCTAGGATTTCTTTTCTTCATAATATACTGAATAACCCCCTTCTTGTGACCCTTAGCCCTGCCAAGCACGGATTTCTCCCTGATACCTTCATATTCCTTATCAACTTTCATAAATTCCAATTTGTATTGTTTGTTATCTATTTTCCCTTTTTACAGTTGGTTATATGTTGCTTCCTCCCCACCTCCACCCCAATTGCTGCCTTCCCTTTGCCACTGAAAGGGCTTTTTAGCTAATGTTGTCCACTTTCTTGACTGTGGTATTCATTCCCATTTTCTGTCTAAAGTTTTCCTCCCAATCAGTTTTATTGATATTTTGTCTCAGCTTAGGGGAATTAGCCCTTTTGAAGCACTAAGTGTCTATCGATGTTACTGGTAGGGAACTGTTCTCTGTTTCTCCATTTGAATGTAATCAGATCCATTGTTTATTTTCTTCTTCTCTATCATATGCACCCTTCTTTGTCTCTTCTCTAAACTAAACAGTCCCGGACTATTCAGTCTGTCTGTATCTGGCAGCCTCCCCCATTCTCATTGCCTGTCTCAGAAACCCCCTTTCTATCTGCTATACACTTTATAGAGACTGAGTGACCACAACTGAGCGCGTGTCCAGAGCAGTTTATCCTCCATCCCCTTCCTTAGGTATCCGAACATTGTCTTTGTTTTGGCCACTACTGTGAATGAGCAACTGTTTCCATGGAGTTGCTATCAACGATGCCCGGGTCTTTTTGCTGAGGTATGTTCTCATTGGGATGTTTCCTCAGCACGCAGCTTGGCAAAGGTTTGTTTTTTCTACTCAGATTTTGAGCAACTATGTGAATGGGGAACTCCCTACAGCATGGACTCTCTAGCTTGGGTTTCATTGCTTCATTACATAATGGATAGCTGATGTATAAACAGTATCCACACTTGTGTTTCCTCTGGTGCCTATGAAGGTTTCCCACACCATGATATGTAGGAATTATTGACACATGGAGCACCATGAAACATGGAATTGGCATTAGTAGGGTCAGTTTATAATTCAGTCCTCTGAATAATGAAAATATTATTTCTCAGTGTGTGAAGAGCGACCAATCTGCTTCACCCATGAGAACAGCCCCCAGTAGTGCATGTAGTGTCTCACATTAACACTGTCTCTCCATCCAGGTATTTGTCCTGCAACCATCATGCTAGACCCTGGGCACATACAGGGGAACATACGGTACATGCAGGAGACGCCGTTCTGCCTCAGAGTTGGACACCTTCTCCCCTACAACATGTCAGATTCCAACATAACCAACTTCATCAACCCCTCCACCTTCATCCTCCTGGGCATTCCTGGCCTGGAGGTGGCCCATGTCTGGATCTCCATCCCTTTCTGCACCATGTACATCATAGCTGTCTTGGGGAACTTCACCATCCTGTTCATCGTGAAGAGGGAGCCGAGCCTCCATGGGCCCATGTACTATTTCCTCTGCATGCTGGCTGTCACCGACCTGGTCCTGCCTACATCCATCCTGCCCAAAACGCTGAGCATCTTCTGGTTCAATTCCAGGGAGATAGATTTCAGTGCCTGCCTCACCCAGATGTACTTCATTCACTGCTTCACAGGGATGGCGACTGGGATCTTCGTGGCCATGGCCTTGGATCGCTACGTGGCCATTTGCCATCCCCTGAGACATTCCACCATCCTGACAAACCCCATGGTTGCCAAGATCGGCCTGGCCATGGTTCTGCGCAGCAGCATATTTGTACTGCCCTATCCCTTCCTGGCAAGGCAGTGGCCATATTGCAGAACCAACATCATCCCCCACACATACTGCGAGCACATAGCTGTGGCGAAGCTGGCCTGCGCTGACATCCGAGTCAGTAATTACTATGGCCTCTTTTTGCTATTCTCTGGGATGGGTCTGGATATGCTTTTTATCACCGTGTCCTATATCCAGATCCTCAGGGCCGTCTTCAGCCTCCCCACAAAGGACTCCCAGCTCAAGACTTTTGAGACCTGCATCTCCCACCTCTGTGCTATCTTAACCTTTTACGTCCCATCTCTCTTCTCCTTCCTCACGCACCGGTTTGGCCACAATGTGCCCCTGCATTTCCACGTTCTCATGGCCAACGTGTACCTCCTGGTGCCCCCCGTGCTAAACCCCATCATCTATGGTGTGAGGACCAAACAGATCCGGGACAGGCTGCTCTGGCTCTTTACTCATAAAGGGACCTAAAGTTTTCTCCTGGTGCTCTTGCTTTCAGACTGAGCTCCATACAGAACTGGCTGGTGATGTGGTGCTGGACCCTCTTCCCTGAATCACTTACTGGATAGTCAAAGAGACATGAAACCCTTTCCTGACCTGCGTGTACTGTATTAGTGGAACAAACTGGGGAATTCATCTGTGTATAACTCATCAATTCACAGGGTTACCATCTTTGTAATTGCTGGTATCTGGACTCCAGCCCCTGCCACACCTCTCCTGCTAAGGCTTCGCCCCTGCTCTGCCTTTCCCCCCCCAAGGCTCCTCCCCTGTCGCTCGCTCTTCTCGTCCCCTCCCCCTGTCACTTGATGGTTCATCTCCACCTGCCTCCCCCTCCCCAGCTACAAGGGAACCATTTCAGATTTTGTTTGGCGGGGTGGTGGTCAATTTTAACCATGATTCCCATGTCTATTTAGGCACTTTAAATCTGTAGTTCTTTTGGCAGATAACTTAACAATTAGCTCACAGAAGCGCTGTATCTAATTCCTATATAAAGGAAAGAAAAATAAATAAATATTAAACCCACTCAGCTCTAATACTAACATGTTCTGATATTTTGTGGCAAGTCACTGAAAGGACACTGGTTAGGTTTAGAAATTTAATGTCTATTCTTACTTTGTTACTAAGTCTGAGAAGAGAGAGACCCTTTCAGGGCTCCTGGGTTCCATCTCAGCTCTGGAAGGGGAGTGGGATCTACTGGGTTACAGAGGGGGCAGATGCATCTGGGGTCTATATAAGAACATCAGAATGGCCATACTTGGTAAGACCAATGTTCCATCTAGCCCAGTATCCCGTCTTCCAACAGTGGCCAATGCCAGGTGCCCCAGAGGTAATCAACAGAACAGGTAATCATCAAGTGATTCATCCCCTGTCATCCCCTCCCAGAGTCTGGCAAACAGGCTAGGGACACCTTCCCTGCTTATCCTTGCTAATAGCCATTGGTGGACCTATCCTCCATGAATGTCTCTAGTTCTTTTTGGAAACTGTTATATTTTTGACCTTCACAACATCCTCTGGCAAAGAGTTCCACAGGTTGATTGTGAAGAAATACTTTATTTTCTTTGTTTTAAATCTGCTAGCTATTAATTTCATTGGGTGACCCCTAGTTCTTGTGTTATGTGAATGAATAAATAATATTTTCTTATTCAATTTTCCAGATCACTTGTGATTTTGTAGACCTCTATCATATTCCCCCTTAGTCATCTCTTTTTGAGGCTGAAAAGTTCTAGTCTTTTTAATCTCTCCTCATATGGGAACTGTTCCATACCCCTAATAATTTCTGTTGCCCTTCTCTGTACCTTTTCCAAATCCAATAAATCTTTGATGAGATTGGGTGACAAAATCTGCATGCAGCATTCAAACTGGGCATAGCATGGATTTATATAGAGGGAATATGATATTTTCAGTCTGATTCTCTATCCCTTTCTGATAGATTCCCAACATTCTCTTACCTTTGACAGCCATTGCAGATGGAGAAGATGTTTTCAGAGAACTATTCACAATGACTCCAAGATCTCTTTCTTTATGGGTAACAGCTCATTTAAACCCTATTGTTCTGTATATATAGTTGGGATTATATTTTGCCATGTGCATTACTTTGCATTTATCAACACTGAATTTCATCTGCCATTGTGTTGCCCTGTCACCCAGGTTTTGGGATTCCTTTGTAACTCTTCTCAGTCTGCTTTGGACTTAAGTATCTGAGTAATTCTGATTCATCGGCAAGTTTTGCCACCTTGCAGTCTACCCCTATTCCCAGATCGCTTTTGAATATGTTGAACAGCACTTGTCCCAGGACAGACCCCTGGGGAACACCACGATTTACATGTCTCCATTTTCACCATTTATTCTGACCCTTTGTTTCATATTTTTTAATGGGAGTGCCTGGGAATGCTTTCAGCTCATCGAATGATCCTTAGTTTAATTTAATGACAAGCCTTTTGTTATGTTAATCACCCTGCCTCTGTTTATAAACAAACTCCCTGCCCCAGATGGCACCCAGAAGCCGAAAACCATCCTGTCTTGGTAAAACCCAGATGGGTGGAAACCTTGTTAACTCAGGTTTCAGAGCGGTAGCCGTGTTAGTCTGTATCAGCAAAAACAATGAGGAGTCCTTGTGGCACCTTAGAGACGAAACAAATTTATTTTGTCATAAGCTTTTGTGGGCTAGAACCCACTTCATCAGATGCATGGAGTGGAAAATACAGGAGCAGGTATAAATACATGAAAAGATGGGAGTTGCCTTATCAAGTGTGAGGTCATTCTAACAAGACAATTCAATTGACAGCAGGATACCAAGGGAGGAAAAATAACTTTTGTAGTGGTTGTGAGAGTGGCCCATTTCAGACAGTTGACAAGAAGGTGTGAGGAACAGTAGGGGGAAATTAGTATTGAAGGCTTGCAAATTAATTTCAGTTCTGCAGTTTCATGTTGGAGTCTGTTTTTGAAGTTTCTTTGTTGAAGAATTGCCACTTTTAGGTCTCTTACTGAGTGACCAGAGAGATTGAAGTGTTCTCCTACTGGTTTTTGAATGTTCTGATTCCCAACGTCAGATTTGTGTTCATTTATTCTATTAACTCAATGTTTTGTTATATGAACCATCTGTATCCTTATGTCTTTGGGCTGGAAACTTCTTGTGGAATAAAAGGGTTCCCGCCATATGGAAGAAACCATAAAAGGGGGCACCGATGTCACCATGTGGCCTCACTTCCCACACAGAAACACCTGGAAACAAATGAGGAACAAAGACTGAACTGCAGGAAGAGCTGTTCCCAGGCTAAAGGGATTTCTAGCCTGTGTATGGAAGCTTGATGGACTGAGTTCAGGATCCTCACAAAAGGAAGAAAGGAGAGTGTTAGGGGGCTTATTCCTTCACCCACTCACTTCCCTGGTCCTTCTCACATGAACAGAGAGCAACAATACCCGAAGTCCAAAGGTGCAAACAATTCAATGTTTATTGGGGTGAACTTCCAGCAAGCATGATTCCAGTTTCTTTCCTTAGTGTCCCCCTTCCCAACTCTGATACCACAGAGCCTTACACCTTTGTCCCTTTTCCCATTCCTCTCCTTAGCAAAACGTGATTCCAATTTCCCCACCTCCATTCCCTGTTCCCATTACCTCCCCCCCAACTTCCTGATTGACTGCAGACTATATATTAAAACTTGAGTTCTGCTTTGCTATACCTTAATCAATTTTCCCGAAACTTAACTAACCAATCCTAGCATATTGTAACATGATTATGTAACCAATTATATCCCACCACCTTAATTAGTTTACACCCAGCAAAATTAATTATACAGCAGACAGAAACAATCACAGAACCAGACAGAGATTATAAAGACAAACAGTAGGGAAATGGGGACTACAATGATAGAACAATACAGAAATGAGGATTTCACATCCCAGCTATTGATAAGTGAGTTCTTGCCAGACAGGATGCTATCAAACTAAGTTTCCTTTTACATCTTCCAGGCACTTCCCTTTCTCTGGAGGCGACAGGCACTATCAGGACAGGGTTGTATCCTTACAGCCCAATAGCACCTTCTTTCAATGTGACTAGCATTCGCTTCCCAGCTTATGGCTGCCTCTGCTGTTTAGCCAAAGGCCTTAGCCTAAGAACAGGTCCTCAGACTGTCACAGTGAAAAAAGGCCTTGTACAGTCAGACAGTGATTTTGATTCTTTTATACCTCTATAACTAGCTAAGTGATAAGAATATACCTAAATTCTTAGAGTATAGGCCTTTACAGACAGGCCTGAATATCTATATCCTAACAGAGAGTAGCAAAATACAGACCATGGACTTCAGAAAAGCTGACTTTAATTGTCTTAGGGAACTGATGGGCAGGTCCCTTGGGAGGCTAATATGAGGGAGAAAGGAGTCCAGGAGATCTGGCTGTATTTTCAAGAAGCCTTACTGAGGATACAGGAACAAACCATCCCGATGTGCAGAAAGAATGGCAAATATGGCAGGTGACCAGCTTGGCTTAAGTGTGAAATCTTCGGTGAGCTTACACACAAAAAGGAAGCTTACAAGAAGTGGAAACTTGGACTGATGACTAGGGAGGAGGATTAACATATTGCACAAGCATGCAGGGGTATAATTAGAAAGGTCAAAATGCAGCTGGAGTTGCAGCTAGCACGGGATGTGAAGGGTAACAAGAAAGTTTTCTACAGGTATGTTAGCACGAAGAAAAAGGTCAGGGAAAGTGTGGGACCCTTGCTGAATGGGGTAGGCAACCTAGTGACAGATGATGTGGAAAAAGCTGAAGTCAGCTCCCAGACTGCTGCACTGGGCAGCACAGTATTGGGAGGAGGTGAGCAGCTCTCAGTGGTGAAAGAACAGGTTAAGGACTATTTAGAAAATTTGACATACACAGGTCCCTGGGTCCAGATCTAATGCATCCGAGGGTGCTGAGGGAATTGGCTGATGTGATTGCAGAGCCATTGCCCATTATCTTTGAAAACTTGTGGTGATCAGGGAGGCCCCCGATGATTGGAAAAAGGCAAATATAGTGCCCATCTTTTAAAAAGGGGGAGAAGGAGAACCCAGGGAACTACAGACCAGTCAGCCTCACCTCAGTCCCTGGAAAAATCATGGAGCAGGTCCTCAAGGAAACCATTTTGAAGCACTTGGAGGAGAGGAAGGTGATCAGGAACAGTCCACATGGATTCACCAAGGGCAAGTCATGCCTGACCAACCTGACTGCCTTCTATGATGAGATAACTGGCTCTGTGGATATGGGGAAAGCAGTGGATGTGATGTATCTTGACTTTAGCAAAGCTTTTGGTATGGTCTCCCATAGTATTCTTGCCAACAAGTTAAAAAAGTATGGACACGATGAATGGACTATAAGGTGGATAGAAAGCATGCTAGATTGTCAGACTCAACAGATAGTGATCAACGGCTCAATGTATAGTTGGCAGCCGGTATCAAGCGGAGTGCCCAGGGGTTGTCCTAGGGCCGATTTTGTTC